TTTTAGTTAACAAGCTAAATATTTAAGTCACAAGTTAAATACTTAGCTTGTTAACTAAAATTTTAATTTGTAAGTTACATATTTAGTTTATGAACTATGACATTTATAAATTTATGAATCATATGGTGAAAAACTGACTTTGGAAAATAAATCTGTTCTTTTTTCTTATAAAAGGCTAAATAAAGCAAAAATATTGGTGGTAATTTTTGACTGTAACTTTACAAATGGCACCCCATATATGCTCTTACTCATTTTAGCTTTTAGCTACAGTGATACTTATTAGCTTTTAGCTGCAGTAGCTTTTGACAGTAGTTTGCTAATCTTAGCTTCTAGCTACAGTTTTGCCAAATGTAGCTTAAGCCACAATTTTCTTTTAGCAACAAACTTGCTTCATTTAGCTTTCAYGATTTGACTAATTTTAGCTTTTAATTACAATGTTGTTACATTAGCTTTTCGCTGTGGTTTGACCAATCTTAGCTTTTAGCTACAGCTTTGCCAAGTGTAGTTTAAGCCACAATTTACTTTTAGAGACTGATTTGCTACATTTAACTTTTAACCAYGGTTTTGTTCATTTTAGCTTTTAGCTACAGTGATACTTAGGTCTCACTTATAGTTTTGTTACATTTAGCTTTTGGCTATAGTTTGGCTAATCTTAGCTTTTAGCCACAGTTTTTGCCAAGTGTCGCTTAAGATACAATTTATTTGTAGTCACTGATTTGCTGCACTAAGCTTTCATTGATGGTTTTGCTAAAATTAGCTTTTAGCAACTTCTACGGTACGTTTAGCTTTCCGCTGTGGTTTTGCTCATTTTAGCTTTTGGTGGTTGTATTGATTTTAGCTTTGGTTCTGCCTTTTTTTTTTTCCTTTTTGTTTTTTACTTTAACAACTCAGTTAATTCATTCTTTACCAAATTGTATCATCGTCATTAAGCGCTCAGCATTCATGCTGCGTTTTCTGTGAACATGCAATTTCTCCAGGTTTAATATAATATATCATGTAATAAATGTTTATCTACCAGCTGTGCTTCAAACTGTATCTTAATGCTAAACTCTTCGTTTCATTTTAATGAGCCAATAAAAGAGTGTTAAACATAAAATTATGATAAACTGAGGTCAAGATGACATCTGCAGTGAAGCTGCTACAAAACCGTGGGTCACACACATTTATCTGATTATGTGACTCCACTTCAGATGGATCCACTCGTTCTGTGTGTGTGTGTGTGTGTGTGTGTGTGTGTGTGTGTGTGT